CCACTCCCCCGCCCCGCCTCCATCCCATCAAAACCGACCTGGCCCTCTTCTCTCTATAGGGGATCCATTCAGCTCCACAGTTTTTCACTATCATCTCTGCCTTTCCCGCTTCCGTGTATCTGCACCCCTGTCAGTTCTACCTTCACAATAAAACCGGAGTCCACCTGCTTCTTCAGCTTCGCTACCCTGGGCCAGGCCACTGTCTAATGTCTGCTGCTCTGGCCCCTTTCCAGTCCGCCCTCCAGTGCTCCAAAGGAACTTCTCTGAGGACCTAGGATGGCACCCCACTCTAGTTTAAAGCCCCCCAATGGTTTTTCTTTGCACTTAGAATAAAACATAAACTTCACTTTGGCCCTTGAGGCTCCTGTGGTTTGGCCCAACCCACCTGCCCCACCTGTCTTTACCAAACTGCCCCACTGGCCTTCCTGCTGTTCACCAAACAGAAATTGTTCCTGCTGCAGGGCCTTTGAGCTGGCTACTCCCTTTCCTGGGGACAGTCTTTGCTGTGCTGTTCCATACAGGTGACCACTAGCTATATGTGACTAGTGAGTACTAGAAATGTGTCTAGTGCAACTAAAGAACTGAATTTTCAAGTTTTATTTCATTTTAATTAAATTTAAAACAAGTAGTGTGAAATTGTTTTTGTTAAACACTTGTTTTCTGAGGACTGTTTGAGTGTTAAAAATTAGTATTGCAATTGAGATGTGTTGTAAGTGTAAAATATGAACCAGTTTTCAAAGACTTAGCACACAAAAAAAGAATGTAAAATATATCAACTTTTTTATATGATTACATATTAAAATGATAATATTTTGGCTATATTAGGTTAAATAAAATATTAAAGTTAACTGCATGTGTTTCTTTTTACTTTTTTGAAACGTGACTACTAGAACATTTAAAATTATATATGTGGCTCGCACTGAATTTCTACTGGGCATTGCTGCTTGAGATTCCTGAATTTTTCAGTCTTTATTTAAGTGCTGCTTCCTTGGAGAAGCCCTCCCTGACCACTCTTCCCTTCACTGTCTCATTACCATGCTTTAATTCCTTCAGCATTTATCATATTCTGAATTTATTTCACCTGTTTATTGGTTTACTTGCTGTTAGCCTATTTTCCCCACAAGAATGTAAATTCCATGAGCGGGGAGATACAGCTCCCTTGTTCACGTCTATATTCCTAGTACCTACCATATAAATATATTTGTCAGTTATATACTCTTATCTGTCAATTATATGATCTGCTTGTTCCCTTCACAGAAGGTCCAGAGAGGAGCAGGGACTTTCTTAAGATCAGGCAGTGCCAAGTCCTACCTCCTAACGCCTGGTCCAGGACTCCCTGTTCTGGTTACAGTTGATCTGACAAACTAAGGCACACTAAGACAGGACTAGTGTGTGCATTTCAACAATGCCTTAATCCAGTATTTCCCAAAGTATGGGAACCTGTACCACAGTCGAATGATTTTTAGGTGACATATGAATATTAAATAACACTGAATCACGTCATGGGAAGGAATTCTTTTTTCAATCTCGTTCAACTTGAAAGGCTCAGTTTGGTGCCACCATGTCCCTAATGCCTCCCCAATGCCTCCCAGTCTGCCTTTTAACACAGAGGGCAACAAGCCTCAGATTTAGAGCCCTTGCCAAGCAACACCATCCAGCTAGAATCCACTAACAATGTTTTATTTTCATTTTACTTATTTTTATGGTCACCTATTTATGACAAGTAATACTGGTTTTCTATCATAGTTACATATATTTTTTTAAGGTTTTAACTTCAAATATATTTAATAAATAGATGAAACTCAGATATGGCAAAAGTTGTGGAAATGGTTCTGAAATGACTGAGGTTTAGGAAACACTGCATTCATCCAAAAGAATAAGTGATGATGAAATTTCAGGTAGGGGCTAGCTAGTATAATGAGATGCTTTTCATCAGGTAAGCTATTTTACTGAGCAAATCTCAGCTTCCTGAGCTTCTGTGAGGGTCTGGTTCAGGACTCAAGGCCAGGAAGCCCTTAGGTAGATGTGAGCTTCTTTTGTTCATGCAGGCCTGGAAAATCTTTCCTTTACTTCCTAGCCAGAGCTTAGGGGTCCTCCCCCTTTAAGCCCACTCCTAGCCCCAAAACGAGAACTCCCAGGCCTACCTCAGAAGATCTCTTCTTCTTTTCCGCCTCTTTTCTGCTGATCATTTTGGATTTCTTGTTTAGCGCTTCAAAGAAAGACAGAAGGAGCAAAGCCAGATGTTTCTGGGGGCCCTGAGCTACAGCAAAGTGGGAGGAGCTGAGGGGTTCTGGAAAGTCCCAGGGTGGGGGAGAGGTTGGCTGGATGAATCACATTTCAGTACTTAGGCCAGTAGGTTCTTGTTAGTCTGGTTGCTGACCTGGAACCAGGGACTAAGAACAAAGTGTCCTCTGAGGGAAGACAAAGGGGAAATGGACTCAGGGTCTTGTACATGGATGGACCTGTGTTTCCTGTATTCCTGTTTTTCATTTCTCAGAGCTGTGGAGGCAGGCAAACCTGATTTGAATCCAGACTCTGCCATATAACATCTGTGTGGCCCTAGCCAACCTACTTAACCTCCTTAAGATTCAGTTTTCTCATCTGCCAATAGGGTACTGCATTACTTAACCTCACAGGGTTGTCTTGAGAATAAACAAGGTGTGTTTATAAAGTGGAAAGTCTGGCACATCAAAAGTGATCCATCAGTGTTGATGTGCCCCAGCCCCTTCCCTTGCCTTAATTTGCTGATACATCTAGAATATTTTCTTTTTTAGTAAAAGACAAGGTAGTAAGGGATATCAGTTTCGAGCTTAGGTTCTGGAGTTAAACACCTGGGTTTGAATTCTGGTTCTGCCAATTAAGATTTGTGTGATCTTATGTTAGTTACTTACATTTCTTAAGCCTCAATTTCCTCAACTGTGAAACAGGAATAAAAATACTACTCACCTCACAGTGCCTAGCACACAATAAATATGTTTATTGCTGTTATCATCATCATCATCATCAGGTGATGTCAAACCAGAATATCTCTAGTGCCAGCTCTAACGTCCCTGATATTTTCCCTGAGCAATCATTCTCAACCCTGGTGTAACAGAACTGGTTCATCCTAGACTTGGTTATATTCTGCAGGATTTCCTAAAGTTTGTTACCATTGATAGCAGTTGTGTGATTCAATAAGTTTCAGAAATGCTAAGTTAAACCAAATTCACCAGTGTCTTGACTTCAGGCTCTCTCAGAGTCTCTAACATGCTAAGCTACATATTAGATTGGTAGCATGCAGGACTTTCCAAACCAAATAAGTCAAGGGTCTCTTTACTCCTCCAGGATTACTTCACAGAATTAGCAAGAAGGAGCCCTGACCTATGGCAATGGATCGATCCTGGTATGAGCCTGGGGAGCATGTTTGACACCCTGCAGCCCCTGCTCACGAGCCAGAACCCAGAAGCTGGGTCTCTGGGTAGGCTACTTACCCACAATAGAGACGGAAGGGGAATCCAGCAGGTTCATGGAGGAGTTGCTCCTCAGGCTCCTGTCATCTCTGGCCTTCTCCTCAGGTGCCAGGTGGCCGGAGGCAGCGAGGAAGCACAGGCAGACTATCAGGCTAGCCAGGAACAGGCGGGTGACATCCATCTTGGGAAGCCTGAGTGGGACAGGGAAGGCAGTCAGGGGTTGTGGCAAGAGAACGTGTCCTCCTGCTTTGTTTCGTCAGGCAGGTGCTCTTCCCCTACCCCACAAGTGTCCCAGTGGAGCTGGAGGACCAGCAAGGCGTAGGACAGGGAAGGGGAACTGATGAAGAAGACAGAAAAGATGAGATGGGAAGAGGAAGAAAGGCAAGGAAGGGACGGAGAATGAAGCAAAGGGAAAAGGAATGTGTTTCAATTAATCTCTGCCATCCAGAGGGTGGAGTGTTGTTTTTTGTAAAAGTCAGCGGCCTCAGGAGACCCTAGGCCTGGGCAGAGTTATTGGAAGTTCCTCAGTACTGCCTCACAGTGGCAGAGGTTTTACTAAGGTGCTGCGAATATGGCTCATAAGTTAAGACTCAGTGAGAAAGATGCAGGGATAAATGGCTCCTTCGGACAAGTGTATATGTCATCGTATACACCATATTCCCACGCCCAGAGGGAAAGAAGGCAGGTATGCTTTGTGTCAGGAGAATGGACCTATCAACACAGGCTAACTGGATTTGTTGATTTACTGATCTGTTGCTAGCTGGATTTTGATGAAGCAGGCGGATCCCAGAGTGGATTTCTTCCCTTGAATATCTGAGTTTGGCTCAATCAGGGCTTCAGCAGCATCTTCATCTTCTCTGAGTGCAGGATTCCCACCCCAGACCCTTCCTGTGCTGGTTCTCTGTGGTCTGGGAAGACGCTGAGGCTGCTTTTCTAAAGGTTCTGTCTGTCCTGCCAAAAGGCACTGTGGGCATGAAGAGAATAAAACAGTCTGCTCATGTTGGTCCGGCCCATTCCTGGGCTCTCCTTACAGCAGCCTGGCCAATGTCTAGCCTATTCCCCCCAGCCCTCAGCTTGGTTGGGGTAAAATTTTCTGCATGTCTGTTACATTCCAGGAGAAGGGGATCCAAACCATTGGCCCTTACCCTCACGTCTTGAAGTCCATCTTCTAACTCTCTCAGCCCTAATGCCAGTTCTTCTGATTTCTTCAGATCCTTTCATCACTGGGCATTTGCCTACCATGAACTGGCCACCAATTTTCTTTCTTAAAGCCTGGTAATGAGTCAATGAAATGAGCACTGAGCTGGGAGTCAGGACCCCTGAATTCTTGTCTTGGCTTAAGTATTGGTAAGATGCATGACTTTGGATAAATCTCCCCTTTTTTATGGACTCTAATTCTCTTCTTGGTAGCATGAGGGGAGTGAGCTAGGTCAGTGATTTGCATTCATTTAGCAGGGGAACTCTTTCTACAAGTAAATGCTGTCTTGCAGAATCCTGATACGTAAAACAGAAAGAGGCAATAAAGAAGTTTTTTAGGCAGCTCACATCTTTGTTATGTGATGGGTCAACACATTTCCTCAAGCTCTAACGCCCAAAACAGCTCCTCAAGCCCTCAGGTTCCTGCCTTGTGCAGTTTGATCTCTGAGGTTCCTAGACCCTATCCACAATAGTTAGATGAAACAAATTTGTATCAAAAAAGTCCAGTTATTTGCTCCAGTCTCTGCTTCTCAGAACTTTGTACTGTCCCCTGTCAAAGCCCTTATCACATGTTTATGTGTTTGTCTCTCCCACTCAATAAAAAAAGAAGAGATCATGTTTTCCTTATGGCCCTGAGCCTGGTACAGTGACCAGGGTAGTAACTCAGCAAATGTCCAGAGAAGACCTTGACTTATTCATGACAAACACAAAACCCCATTCCATTGCCCAGTATTGGTTTAGGCATGGACATGTGACTGAAGATGATCTGACCAGAGGAAGGCCAGGCCTTTTTCTGGTTGCTTAGGGAAGCTCTTTCTCTCTCAGTGGATATCTAATAAAAAGCCCGCCGTCCTAGTTAGTGCTGGCAGCCATCTTGTAAAGGAAAGCTGGCTTTAGGATGAAGCTGAAAGAGTGAATGATTGAACAGAGAGTAAGAAAGGACATTGTTAGGCTATTAGATCAGAACTTACCTGAAACCCATCTTATATCTAGACTTATCAGTTAGATAAGCGAATATATTCCCTTTATTGTTTTAAACTAGTTTAAGTTCAGTTTTCTGTTACTTTCAACCCAAGGCATTCTAAAGGATACTTTTCCTTGTCAATTGTTCTAGAGTTGCATCTTCAGGTCTAAAGTTAGACACTAAGGTAAAAATTGCATAGCGTACACATTTTCTCCAGCATGGCAAATGATGGCTGTTGTTTTCTGTTTTTGCTGTTTTCTTTCTATTTTGCACCAGAAAAAGCAGTTGTCTTGACTTTAGGGGTCATATTGTATGAAAAATTCCTTTTCTTTGAACACCAGGAACATTATCAGAATAGTGAAGGTTAACACTGTGAGAGCTGTCCAGGAACTGAGACCAGCTGAGGGAAAAGCAGGTCCCCAGCTCCCAATTCTGGGGCGAGGGGCTGGAGCAAGCACATTATATTTGCCCTATCAATATCTATTAACTGATGGAGTAATTAATTGTTTCTTTGGATAAAGATATTGATGACTCTTATTAAAAGGCAAATGATGAGATCTAGGAAAGATAACTTGTGCCATTACCAACCAATATTTCTCATTAATTTATCAGGTTTCAGATTTGCTTTAGGACAGGGCTAGGTCCTAATGAGACAAGAGTTAGGACTGGTAAGTTGTGATTATTAGAGGCAGAGAAAAAATCTCCATCATGAATAGTTACTATAATGTTTTGAAACTTTCTATTATACCATGATGCATAGAATTCATAAATATTCAATGCAATAATACCTGGAATACAAAAAATATATAATTATTAGGAATTACAAGATAATATTTTGATTAGTTGCATAAAATTAAATGTATATTTTAAGATTTTATTCTGGATCACTGAGCTCTTCCAAAAGCAATTTTGTATTTAATTTTGGTCTTCTGATTTTTGCTAAATATAGATCATTTTTTTAAGTAGCAGAGCTCTAGCATCAATGGGTATTAACTGGAAAGACAAATCAGAAGTAAACTCAACTTGAAAGAAAAAAAAAGGAAAGGAAAGGATGGAGATATGGTGGAATGGGTTGGGAAGAAACTCTGATTAAGGCAAGTCTCAAGAGTCATGTCACTGATGGAGGCAGTATATGTAGTTATTCTATTTCTTTGGGTTTTCTCTATCATTAATCACAATGCTGACCAAAAAGCATGCTGGGAATTCCTGCAAAGAAGTGAAAGGGTGGTTAGGAAATCTGAGTTAGAAGAGGAGAGGCTGGAGTTTGAGGAAGATTAACTGAGACCCAGATTCCACACTTATCACTTCCTCTGAACACCTAGTAATGCAGGAAGATCAGATCTTCACCATCAGAGCAGCTCACAGGCCTAATAGAAATACTAGCCACTGGGCAAGGAGGAGATCTCACTGGGTAACAACATCTTTAGACTAATTCAGGATACATAGTCAATCCTAGGGTTTGATTTAAAAAAAAATAAAAGGTTTCTTTAATGTACAAGCAACTCTTTTTTGTTTGTTTGTTTTGTTTTTCTAAGGAGGGCGCAGCTCACAGTGGCCCATGCGAGGATCAAACCAGTAATCTTGCTGCCATTAGCACCACACTCTAACCAACTGAGCTAACTGGCCATCCCCTGTACAAGCAACTCTTAAGGAATAAACTTAAAATACAATTTCTTGAGCCTAAGTAACTTAGTGGAACTATAAAATTAGACTGAGTCTTGGAAGGGTGAAGTCTCAGTGGAATTAATCTTATTTGTGTATTGAAAAAGGGCTAAGAACCAGTATTACTTGCACCAATCCTAGGGGGATGTGTATTCTAAATGTAACATAGGTCCATAATATATAGTTGTATTATGAGCCTTACGGTCAGATTTTAATTTTTTTAGAATTCAGAATTTTGTGGATTTTAGGAAAACGATATCATCTGTATACTCTATGAATCCACATATAAAGGGCCTGGGAGCACCCATGATGAAAATGTTAATGATTCTGTAGCAAAAAAAAAGTGAGGATATTCATAACAAACAAGATAAACAAAGACTGAATTGATTTCACAGATTTTTCTGCCAAATGAATTACCAAAGGAAAATTAAAAACTTACAGTTTCAGAGTTTGGGGATTTTGGCTTCCTTTTATAGTTATCAGGCCAGTGGTAGCCAGATGTGCACAGCCAAAGCCAATGACAAAGATTTAAATCCTATTTTAATCAGTTATAATGGCTGAAGTTTTTCTTAAGAAGCCATATCTCAGACTGGAAAGATCTTTATGTCCTGCACATTCAAATCAGGTAGGTGGACTGGGGTTATAGAAGGTAGTGGTGGCCTAAGTCAGGGGTACAGGTGCCAAGTTCCTGATTCTCTCATGAGGGATCATTCTAGGTACTTCATTACCGCTCTCACAATAAAAAAGGGAGACCAATTTCCTCCTTATTCCTATCGCCCAGGATGTAAGTTACCTAATTAGGCAGGCTACCTAATTTGTGGGGGGGCTCAATGCAAAATGAAAATGTAGGACCATGTGTTTAAAAATTAAGAATTTCCAGAAGGCTACAGGGGAGCGAGCATTAAACTAAGCACGAGGCCCTCTCAATGTGAGACCCTGTGCAACTGCACAAGTTGCATGCCCATGAAGCCAGCCCTGGTTACAAGACTGAGAAAGTTGACACTGATGTTGTGATATATTAGCTATTAGGAAGTTTGTGGATTGTGAGAAACATTAAATTACACTCAGTAAAGTTTCAGCAATAAGTTACGAGTATATAATAATGAGACTGCTTACAGACAACACCTGCAGTTGTCTAACCAGTACTCCAGGCATCAGACATCTTAATGGAGCAGAGGCCAAAGAATGGACCTGAGCTCTAGACCCAGCCCTGCCAGTAATTCATTGTGTGACTTCTGGCAAGTTACTTTCTCTCTATGGGTACCTTTTTTTCTTCACCTGTATGAGAAAGGATTTTGAATAGATATTTAAGTTTTCTTCTAATTCTGATTTACTATAATTCCAAATGAGTGGCATCCCCTTCAGAGA